GGCTATCGCATACAAAATTCACTGAACGGACAAGGAAAATCCGCTACGCTACGCGAGCCCTTCCTGCATTCTACGAAGCCGTTTCTTCTGTTTCTTGTATTGCATATTCCCATATTCCACGATCACTTCGTTTTCGAGTGCCTCCAGAATGTCAAGCCCGTATTCTTGGAAATTCCAGCCCCGAATGTCATTTCGAACGGGGACTTGACTGGCGATAGTGCTGATGGGGCTGACTTTGGCGACCTCGGCCTCACAGATATAAAGCAACCCCCATGCTGTAGTTCCCGGCTTTGGGCTGTGAGGGCAGAAAATGGGGAGGAAAGGAGCTGCTGGCGTTCCTATTCACATCGGTGAGCAATAAATTGGTCCATGTGGATATATGGACTAAGACAACTGCTGCACTCTACCATTTGTTAATTAGAGCGTGGAGACTTGACGAATGTGACTCTAGAATTTCTTGCAAAGGTCATTACATCTATTTTGGAAATGTTCGAATGAGACTTGGATATATGTAACAATGTATGATTGATCTCAAACGAGTAAATACATGTATGAGAAAGACAATGTGGCTCCTACTCCAGATATGCTCCAGGGAGCAAAGCCACGACTCGGCGGATGTTCCTGCATAGGCTGCGCCACCATCCTGTAGATAATATGATACCCCACTCGATCTGTTGTAAACCAAGGCACTGATGTTGTATCATTGCAGACATGTGTTAGGGCGTTGAAGCATCCTTTCCTTTCCTTTTCCTGACGAGGATTATGTTACTGAAATGTGCTTGGTAGACACCTTTGGACTTCGTCAGACATACATATCTTGGTGTGATCTTTAGTCTAACACAACTTTTGGGCAGGGTAATCGGCTTGCATCGCAGAAACACCAAGATGGCCTCGCCATGTGCCTCCATGGCTCATTGTCATGCAGAGCGCCGAGGTGCTGCCCAGGCCCTCCCATGCATCGTCAATAGCAGAAACGATTGTCTTGATCTCAGCAGTGGTATCACAATTGCGCCCTGAGGCGTAGTAGTAATAGTTATAGTCCTTTCCGTTCGCGTCCGTCAGGCGGCCTGTAACGTGATCACAGCTTTTGGCTGCACTTTTCTGATAGATCTCGGTCGCAATTCCAATGATGACTGCCTGGGACTTGTTGGGATCACTGAACTTGGTGCTTCCTGACTTCTCGTTACTCTCGGAGACGGATATTGCAGTTCTTTTCACAAGTCCAATCTCATTTCTCTTCGCGGTGCTCCTTGTCTCGAGCTCAGGAAACCCAGGGTTGCTTCTTTTTGCGCCTTTGTGATGGTCGGAGCAAGCGGATTTTGGGTCCTGTCCTGAGGCATCGGTGGCGAGACCAATCACTCCGTGCCATGTGCCCTGGTGATCAAAATCAAGGCACACTGCAGAGGCACCCTCAGAGTGTAATTCATCGAATGCATCTGAGAGAGCGTTGGTGATGGTCATTGCTCGCTGAGTGCTGTCGCAACTGCTTCCTGTCGTGTATGAATACACATAATATTTATACCCAACTCCATTTTCAGTGACTGAGATTATCGCTGACTTGCCACAAATCTTGTCCGCGTCCGGTTGGTTACTAAGCCAACTAAAGTAGTTGCCAACAGCTCCAGTAATCACAAGGCCGAGTGTACCACCCGCTCCGATGACCGCAGCAGCGCCTGCACTGGGCCATTTATGAACGATTGTATACCGGTCGCTTGTCCGGACAGCTAGCTCGCCGTGCTCAATCTCACTGCTTTGGTCCAATGTCTCCTTTGTTTCGGCCGCAAGTGCCGAGCATAGCCCATGAATAGCTAGCAAGGAAACGAGGACGGATCCAAACTGATCCGAGATGCTCTTGAACATGTTTGAGATATTGAGAGCACTCTCGTGGCTCCGTGGTTTGAATAGTATCTAAGTCTAGTCAGCAATATCCCACAGGAGTAAGGCAGAACGGTTCTAGAACACATACTGGTATACTGGTAAGAAGATGGATGGAAATGTCGCAAAAGAACAGAGAAAGAAGAGAAATACAAAGATGATCCAATTCTCGAGTGCCTTTATACAGCTCTCGATTCGATCAAGGGCTGGTGCCATTTTACATGCCTGTGGCTATGTTAGTTATCTGTGAATATCAAGTAAATGCCTCAGTTTCATAGCACAATGCACATATGCATGTCAGATTCCATAAATAAACGGATCTCTATTTGGCCGAGGAAATGCCCCCAAGTCGCGCGATTGTGGATCAAAAGGAAATTTATTGTTCACTCTTCAGCAATTGGAGGCGAGAGACGAACAAGCTCAGTGTCTATCGCCTGGTCCCCTTCTGGAAATACCGAAACAGGACTATAGAACACCTGTTCTCCCTGCGCTTCGTCCCAGCCTGGATGTGAAATGCAAGCCTAGCGTCCGAAGCTCCGTCGTTGCTCTGAAGGCTCCAGTTCGTTAATGAGAGCTGAATACACCTAAAGAGCAGGCCCCGAAAAGTGGATACGGAGGCTCAGTGGGGCACTGCTGTGCACTGAAAATGAGTGGCAGCTTAGTGGGGGCGAGGCTTGCATTTGCAAGGGTTGGAACTAACGTTAGTTGATCACACTCGGTACTTATCTGGCTTCTACGAGAGATCAGACTTTTTTGATATACGTCTCAACTCTATGAAACTCGAGATTGAACCCCAATACTAGTAATGCCAATTCTTAATCTAACAACAACACTTTAACGCGCGCTCCATTCTCCTTTCCATGGCGTCTTCTAGTGGGAATTTTTCGCCTGTAAGAATAAGGGCTAAATCAGTAGAAACGAATAATCCAAGGCAGAGTAAGCCTTGCGGAGCTGCTTTGTATTAGAATAATTGTTCCTATCACTGCCCATACACCCGTATAGTAAAACGGGGTTTCATCAACTAGTCCATACTGGGTATAGATGAGGAAATACGGATACCACTGGATCTACATACGTCTTTTTTCAATCTTATTATGGGCCAGCCAGGTAAGACAGTGACGCTCATGGATCTTCTGGTTTCTTCAGCCACTTAGGTACTATTTATACCTGAGACAGCTTGGGGCCAAAAGGCGTCGATGTATCGTCATCATGCGGTACTTAACACTACTTACATTGGGGCCAAAAGAAAGATTTCCGTTTTTCCAAGTCAACGCGATGCCCATGAAAGGGCAAGAGATGGGCTTACAGACTCTTGATTCTACTCTGTCTGCTTCTTCGGGGAGGGTGGCACGATTGGCTTTGTCAAAACGTAGTTCCTTACGGGGACTAAATATACTGTTGAAATTTAGAATGTCTAATGATAGAGAATGAATGAAGCATGCAAAACAGTCTATTCCAGAGAGGTGTTTAAGTCTGGTCTCTTTCTCAATGAGAAAGAGACCCTATTTAAATGGAAGGATTTCCCCTGAACTATACTCTTTTTGAGGAAGGATTCAAGCTGACTGATTCATGCCTGATATATCTGGTATACACCATCTATTCATGCAGGTTTTTCAACATATACATACGTACCAGTTTATCACGTGCCCATTCAGGATTGGAAACATAAGAAGCGAACTGAGTTCCATGGTTGTAATAGCCAGCTAAGGCCACGGGGAGAACACGTGCTTGAATATAATATAGAAACCTCATTTTGAACAGGCTCAAAACTCCGTCAAAGAATCTGGGTAAGAATGATGGCAGAAATGGGACTCCTCGCTAGGTGTAACCGTTGAATTTATACCTATTCTGCAATTTCCGACAGAACCTACACAGACCTACGTTGCTTTCGTCGGCTTTGGTTATATCTAGCGGGCGTTAGTCTTCGGTTAGTGTAGTGGACTGGAGGCGCATTTGCCCTCTAAAATATCGTACCAATCCAGAGGAGGGAGTGAGACACGGGAGGGTGAAACACAGGCGAGTGAGATACCCCAAAACACTGCAAAATGCGATAAAATACAACTCCGTATCTCAATAACCGTGACCATTTTGGACACGATATTGAGCCTGTAATAATCTAGACAGCGTTTCTAACCTACCGCCCGACCATCAGCCACCTACGAATGGTCGGACGCGCTGGTGAAGGCTCCGGAACTAAACATTGCACCGCTCGGCACAGCAGAGTCACGTCTCCGTCAGATCCTGGCCTCTAGAGGGGCCTAGGCACCATAATTAATGCAGAGTCCCAATTTGCTGGTAAGCATCACAATGCGGTGCGGAAAACCGCACCAGAGATTCTTTGAACAACCCCTAACATTCGAAGACTGTGCTGCGGGAAGAAATGCGCAGAAGTGCATGGTCTGTGTGATCTGAGAGTGATATGCGTCAAGTGGTTCCTCCGATTTGATTCCCAGAAGCTAATATTTAGCCCGAACTGTGACGGTTCATGGATGCTTGGGTTTTACCACTACGCCATCTGGCCAAAAAGGCACAATGTTTGGTCAGCGACCAAACACCCAAGCTACTATATATGCTCGATCTCTGACACTCCCAGATCTAGTGTGAGGGTCTCACGTATACATAGAGGTGGATAGTGTCTCAAGATTAACAATCAATATTAAGAACAACTATAGTTGACTCTAGATATAAGACGTAGCGCGAGGAAGCAAAAGAAAGGTAGCTTCCTCGCGTTCAGGGGAACCCATGTACACCATGTGGGTCCCGCGCAGATCATATCTCCATCGTTCCGTATGCTTCATGTATATCCTTGACATACGGCTATAGTGTTCCCAGGAAACACCCACCCATTCCTGGGAGTTATGCATCGAACCTGAATCTCTAATATGACGGACATACGAAAACCGAACCACCTAACTCCTGCGACCTCTGTTTCTTGTCTCAGGGCCAAGTGGCGCCATTGTGACCAACATATAAAGGTCAAGCGCCTCGCCAGACAAGCCATATTACAAGTGTACCATCTTCCCGCTACATCCAATATTAGCATATTCGAGCGTTCAACTTTGCTCTAATCCGTTGACGGCCTCCACTTCCACGAATTCCATCCTATCCTTTTCTTTGAAGAAACAATGGGCCAATACTGGCAGGTGGTTTGCCCATCCAGACGCGAGTACACAACACAGTCATGTGGTGGAAAGCTATCAGAGTTGCTTTTTTCGTCATGGGCCAACATACTGTGTGACCTGATTGAACACGAGTGGGCTGGCACTCGGCTCATCTGTATTGGAGATTACTTAAATCCAGACGATCTCCCTGCCACGATTCAACAAGACAAACTCCACTTGATTTCCGCCGAGAGCGATGCAACATCCAAGCTTCTCCGCTATGATGTCGTTGAGGAGGAGTTTGAACTATGGTCTTACGAAGAAGAAGGGGAGGCAGCGACTCTCACGGCCATGGAAGAATCTGTCAATCCCAAAATTCGACTCCTGAGGAACTTGACTACCAGCCAATATGTCTTCAAGGACAAGTTGCCATCCGGAACCACTCTTGGCCACATAGTTCTGATGCGTATCTGTTGGTCGTCTGATAGTTCAACTAGCATTGCGGGGGGAGGATATTTGACCAAGGGAGAATGGGCTGGCCATGAGTTCGACATTGTAGGTGCTGACATGCTGGAAAATATGGACGGAGAATGGGAGGATGTCACCGAGGACATCCGCGATGAGATACAGGTTCTGTGGTCGAGCGATTTCGGAGACAACTGGGAAACCGAATGGAGAGCGTGATACTCCATGAGCAAGAAGCTATGAAATCAATTGATATGAAGAATATCCGAGGATACAATCATAGGCTATCAAAGAAAAGATGAATGGAAATACCTTTGGACACCCTTCCCGTATATACTCGAGTGAGGTCAGAAAATCTCCATGTTCCTTGGACGAAAATGTGAGGGCTCTTGGTAAAATCAAAGAATGAACAGCTTCCATTGCCTCAGTGTTAGGACCATAGATTCAACAGTAAGCCAACGTTTCTTAACCGACTCACTTTGACTAATTCTCAACATGACCCTAGCATTTTTACTCGGTGGGCATCTAACATGACACCAAGGATTTTGCCGCAAATAGTTGCGGTAGAACGAAGGTATGGGTTGCACTTAGGATAGGCATCGTGTCCAACGTTTGCTCCCTAGCAGAGCACGTGCGCGACAGGAGCCTACAAGCCTATAAATACGTCCTCTCCCCTCAGCAATTCGTTCCACAATACTGTCACTTGCTGTGTAAAGTCGAGCAGGCCCTCGGTTTGAGGCACCTGATAAGTTCTTCCCTTCAACCCTAGTGGAATTTCCACTGTACTGACATCTATCGATACATCGTGGGCCGACAAGCTAGAAAGGGCTTGTGAGAAAGTGATTCCCACCAGATCCACTATTCCACCTATGCCAGCCGATCAAAGAAGCAGATTTGGGTTAGCTGTTCAAAGTATGCGAACATCTGTCCACAATAGCAGCGGACCACTGTTCCGCCCCTGAATATCGATGCAAAAGAGCAATTTCCATACAGGTATGTAGATTTCAGCGCGACCCTTTCCGAAACTGGACTGACTTCAAAGACAATGCGAAAGAAAGATCCATCCGTCCAATGCATGCGCAAAGCCGCGGAACCCTTTCCGGTGTCTTCTTTCAGAACATGTAAGTCACTTATTGTCTCGCCGACCGAAAAGCTAATGATGGACAGGAAACAGTTGACAGCGCGCCAAAGTGAGCCCGAACCAGCACTCCGTCAGTGCTCCACGCGGTCATGGCTTACACACCATTTCTGGCCCTGTCACTTCAAATCATGCAGCATGTCCTGAAATTCTGCAGACCAGGGCTGTGGGTCAACGACAGGACGCATAAGCCCCAGACGTTCGTTGTGCACGATGAGGTGAGTGGAATATCGCGCATCCTGCTGCGCCGGTTTTTGATTTTGCGCCAAGTCTGTGCCCCAGACACGAACCCCACTGACATCTTCATGCTGTTGTAGGAGCAGCCCATCACCAACCTCGAAAAGTGCTGTGGCGAGTAACCTATTCCCGCCGAGTCAGATAAGACCAAGGGGCCGACGCGCTCCATCGCCTCTTACCCCCTCCACCTCACCGCCTTCACATCCTCAACAACAGAGTGCCTCTACACGGAGCAGTCTCCCAATAGGGGACTCTGCAATTTCTTGTCACAAGTGGGCTCGTCACGCGCCTTTGCCGTCCTGTGAACTTGCCCGGTGCATCCAGCGCAACTTCTCGAAGCGACAGCCGGAGAGTGCGACGAGCCTGGATACAACATGGCATATTGGTGACTGCATTGCAGAACAGAATTGGCAGTGATCTAGTTGGTAAGCTGGTATGATGACAATCCTAATTGACCATCTGTCTCAACCGTACACTCGGGGAATTCTTCATGAACAACGTAAAGCACGACACCTCGTCCAACTGGATCAACAATTGCTGACTCGGGTCTCACAACAGGAGGCTCCCTTATATTCCCACACTCGAATTCGAAGCGATCAACTGTCTTGTCTGCTCAACCTCTCCTGCACCAACACCATCGAATGCTCTGTTTTTACCTCATGACTACCGGTGGCATCGACGAGTCTCTCCCTCGACGTTCTAGTCGATTTGGTTCATCAGAACACGGGTTGGTATGCCTACCTGATGCAGAACCAATGGAGCGCATAGCAGTGTCTGTCTCCCGGAATTTGGACCCTCTCATAGGATGGCCTACTTGCGGCTTGGATCCCTGGCGTCCAGTGGGTGACCCTCGTTGTTCTCTAATGGCGCTTAGCGTCTTTCGAGCCTAAAAATCCGAAGACACCGTGAGGAGCCGATGCTTTGTCTTGCTAGAGCCGTATTTGCGAACACGGCGAGGTTGTTGGTCGAGTCTGCTTGCAAGGAGAATGTGAGGTGAAAGTCCCGTCATCTCTAGCCGAATCAGCTAACAACAGCCATGTCAGCCTCGAATCGAAGGACAAGACCGAGGATGGCCAATCGTTTGAGGAAGTTGCCAATAAGGAAAAGAGGGCGGAAACCAACTAGAAGCGAGAAAAGGACAAAAAAAAACCGAAACGGGAACGAATCAGAAGCCAGAGCAGCGACAAGTCTGGCAGTCGAGATTTCGCGGCAAAACGTCGCGTGGCACACGAGGGGGCATGGCCGAAAGTAACCACTTCACTCGTTCCTCTTCCAGAGCACACTCGTTCCTCGTTTCAGGGCATGGGGTTCTGGTAGTCTCACGAACCGATCACCCATAATAAAGGAAGGTTCCATTCCAAGTCTTGTCATGTGCGGGATGTTCCCCCTTCCTCTCACTTCGTTCGTTTTCAGGGCTAGGACCTAGCCCACTAGTAGGTCTTTGGGAAAGAAAGCATGTCTAGACGGTATCTGTGCATTTCTGCCCACCCTCACCGATAATCTGTTTTCGAAATTCTCTGTATACTAGTAAAGATATATGCCCTTGTCCCTTTATCTTAGCATCGTGAACCCCGCCGCCGTATTACCAAAGCTACCAATTCGACTCCCTTTAATCACTTTGCTTTTTGTAAAGCAGTAATATCACTCGGTTGAAACTATATTATCCGGTTCCATATAATCAATCTTGCTCTGAAATGATGGCGCCTGTAAGGCTCGTAAAAAACTGTCGGGAATTTCGGCACTGATCAAGGTCAGCATCATCTGGAATAAGGGTAGGACTTTAAGGCAGGTTACGAACGAAAAACCATTGAGAACATCAGCATCATATCTGTTCACGACTTGACCACCGTTCATCTCGATGAAGTCTGCTAGTCGGTCGACTTCCTCTGGACCGACATCATCTTTTGAAGACAACCTAGTTCATGTATTAGGGAGAGTCAATGAGCATGAGGGAAAGAATCACTTGCGATGAACCTGCTCGTCATGACGCCTTGATAGTGAAGCGATATTCTTTGCGGAAATGTAATAGGCCTCTACAAAGTTGAATTATTCTGTATACTAAATTGCTTTCTAGTTCCGTGCATAGCTTTTATAGTCAATATGCACTACTTTGTGTAGATAAGACCCACATACGCCACAAATTGTAACCTACGCGCGACCCACGAGGCCCCTCTTTTAACACGACGGAGCAAAGATCGGCGGTCCTGAGGCAGCCACAGCCCCAATCGGTCTCAGATATCCAGAGATCTGAGAAGTCATTAGCCCGCCCTTATTCTTGTTGAAACACTGTCGGATTAGAACTGACTTACATGGACGGGCCCAAAGCTCCAGTCAATTTCTTCATATGTTGCCTCATCAGGCTAAGTGAACTCATGATCTACTTTGACCTGCCAAACCTACCATTGGTTGCCGCCCGGTTCCGGAGAACAAAGCTTGATGGACGACGCTTCTGATGTTAAGGTTAGAGTAGGAGAACGTTTGTCTTTTGTACCTTCTTACCATCGATATCGTATGTCTCGCTCATTTTTTTGGTTAAGTAGCCATGCAGAGGGTGAGATTAGCTCCGTTACGTTTGAGGTACTAGAAGACAATCTACAAGACTCATGAGATAAGATCAAGGATCCGACGCTTTATATGTTCGTAATATCATGGATCTCCTGCTACGCCTCTATATACGGCTTCCCCTCTGCTTTCGCAATTCATAGTGGTCATTAAACTTCTAAGCTACTCTTCAGCTTATGATAGCCGGACGGCTGAAGTCAATTTCCTTCGGAAGGTAAGTACTCAGCTAGGAGTGGAGGACTAGCGAATATCTACTTCCCATTTCGGGCACAATTCGGATCATGATATGCCTGCTAGCTTGATAGATGCATATGAGCGAACCGATTGCAATTTGAAGGTGTCTTAGATTGGGGCCGATCGTATTCGTCTGGCTGGCGAACTCAGCTGAGCCACAAAGCTCGGTTGGGGGATATTGGTAACTAACCCTTACAAATATTACATATTTTTCGGACCCCCGCTCCGCGAGGGTCCGCCATCCAAACGCCATCTCGTTTCCCCTAGTAAACACCCCCCTTCAACACGCGTTTTTTCACCATTAACATGCCCGAATCAAATCAATCTATAGAAGCTCGCATCCAATTAGCTATACTCGAATTAGAGAATATCGAATCGCCTCATATCAAAGCGTGGACGCGCGCGTAACCTCCCATATCGGCGGCCGCTTGCACGCTATAGTAGCAGAACCGCAGGAGAGCAGGAGAAGCGGCTAGGGGTGATCTGCGTTCGAGTGGTCCGGTCCGACCGGAAGGCTCAGATGGAGCGAGGTACCCACACGTTAGTCCTTGCAAGCAGGCTGAAATAATTTCTTGCCAGAGAACCTGGGGGGTGCGAGACTATTAGAAAAATGCACGGACCTGAGGTCAAGGTGGAGAAGGTCTGTTGTTTAGCCAATCCCATTCAATTAATCCTGCTTTCCACAGGGAGGACGGCGTTTAAACAGCACCTTCTCACCACTTCTGCGGCCTCATATTTAGACACTTGAGTTTTGATTGCTATTTCACCACCTCTATTTTTGCTCTAATCTTCGTTGAACTCACAATTAAGCGGTCCTTTATTCCTCCAGAACCAGTTCATTTAATCTGATCAAAGTAGTAGGGACTGCTATCAATTAATTGAAAATCAACGGTAGCCCCTTGGCCCTCACAAACAAATGGGTGGTGATGTCGAAGAGAAGCCGCAGTAAGGGTGGTTGCCTGTACTGAGTACTCCGTTCTATGCTCAGCTTCGGCCCCGCCGAATTATTACCCGGCGAGTACCTTCAGCAAAGCCCTCCCTTTTCTTCTCCTAGTATGTTCTTCGTTTGCAATCAGTTTTACAATTCACCCTATCTCCGACTGAAATCGACGTCGATCAGCACATGGTTGGTGATGGCTTCTGGAACTTATCGAGCAAAATGAGCCTATACCAAGGTGAAACGAGGTAGCGGACCAACCATGCATTGCTTTATTATGCTGGCAACCGAATAGCAACACAAGGACCAATCATAGTCTTAACGAAAGATTTTAAATGTCATCGGTTAGCTGCTACTCCTTTCTCCAACTTTGAGTAGCAAAGTGCGCGTGAGTTCATTCCCCTGGTGGCGGCCTACTCTCAAGGGTGTTTATGCTTAAAGCGCAAAATAGATTATGTACCCCATAACCATACCAGGTTTCTGGCACAGAACCACGTGATCATGCAAGTAGTAGAAAGGTCGCCAGTCAATGAGTAGATTCTGCCAAGCCGAGCCTACCATTCTACTTTCTACTGTTCTACTTAGGAAAGGACTCAGGATATATAAGGACACTCATTCGTGTATCTAGTTTAGTTCTTCGTGTTCAATCATCCATTGTTACTTGTGTCTACTATTCAGAACCTTTGGTGACTCGTACAAACTTGATTATAACTTGACAACACTACGAATAGACCCGTACTCCGGTATAGGTTAGTTCGTCGCTCTACCTGGCATCGCTCCTCGATACCCTCAAAAGGACTTAGCCCGTATAAGGCCTGTTAGGCAACGGTACGGTTGAGAGACAGATCGTTGAGGTTGGAAGCAAGGAAGCATTAGGCCAGTATAACCCAGAAGTCTTCTAACTTAGCGACGACCCGATAGTCGTGCGTAATACCAAGTTTTGCATGACTGAGCACATTTTTACATACACAGGGCTCATTGGCTGTGAGGGAGCACATTTTTACAGTCACAGGGCTCATTGGCTGTGAGGGAGCGCAAGTCTTACATCGCTGGGCTCTTGGCAGCGATAGCCGTGGTCACGGAAGCTCTGAATCCCGCAGGGGAGAGAGGAACACTATGATGCATCAAAGTGTGAGAAGACCGAAGTCCTAATTCTTTTGGGCTGGAAATCCGGCTTCTTTTATATTTCTTCGGCTACGTTTCACTCAAGGAACCAGTTGGGCACTTGCTAGTGACAATTAATGTCTCGTTGATAGACGTTGATGTGCTTGGACGAACGTTGAAATGTGGTTCTGAAGACTTTGTAGCCGACAAAGTCAAGGCCTGAATCTACTCGCGGAATCATTCTTCTCCAAATTGTGCGTTGAGTAATGGTGAACTACTTTCATTAATTGCTGAGAAGAGTTTCATGCCGCAAAGATGTTGCTCCTATATGTTATCGACTTTATCGAATCTGCTATCAAATCACTCAACGCGCCTAAAGTTGAGCAAGATAAGTTGGCCAAATAGGTCAAAGTGAAGGGCCACTGCAATGGACTGGAACCTGATTGTTGTCTACGGTGACAACCGCGTTTTTTTGATCGATCTTTGCATACCTTCGGTGTCTTGACCCGCGAAGCAAGCGGGGCTTTTCTTTTTTTTTTTTCTTTTATAAAAAATAAAACACCTTACGATCACAAAGGGCAGCACCCGCGACCCTGAAAGATCGCTCCGGCGCAGAAAATCTGTGATGAGATTTATTGTGTTCCAACAAAGGCTGCCGTAATTGACTAGAATGGGCCAGACCGCAAGTTGAATAATATGACAATTGACGCTTTGTAGAGTCTGAAGTCTTCACCTTTGGATACTTTATTATAATGACCCCTCTCTTTGGATTCAACTTGGTAGTCCAGTATCAGACAGTCAACTGTGGAAAATGTGATACTTGATGACCAAGTGGTTGAGACGTACTCTAAATGATCGAGAATACAGATGTAGATATCGTCGGTTTCCCATGGCAAGACGTTGCAATCATCATAAGGGTCCGTTCAGGCCCTCTCAATGAGCATGTTTTGCTTTGAGACAATGATCAAATACTGCACATTGTTGCCTGGTCTTCCTCAAGAGAGGATACGATGAAACCCTGAAGCAACGCGCGCAATACCCGTTGACAAGCGAACCTGTATACTGCCATCTATATCAGCATCTTGGAATCAAAATCCGTTGAAGAGGTTTCGACATACCTGATGATTTTTCTCGGGGAGGCCTAGCGCGAGACACCTTTTGGAGCGTGACCCGTTCCTCCACATGATCGCATAGTTGCCAATGACTTTTTCACGTTCTTCACCTCCTCTTTGAGAGCTTTGAAGTCACTAGTGAGTTTCTCTATGCTGACTGTGAGGAGCTCGATATCGCTAGCGAGGTTCTTCCGTTGACGCATTTTAACCTTACTTTCTAACAATCTGTATCTTGAATCAGCCCCGTCCCGAACTTGAGCGTCTAGGCTCAATAAAGCAAAAGGCTAAGTGGCACAAGACAAAGCAGGCAGGTATACTTACTTCGCTCGCTTAATGGCTCTGGTAATGGTTCATTAGACAGGTAGAAATGAAAGGGGTACATAGCAAAAGAGGGCGACTTACTCCCTGGCAGCAGATTGCTGGCGATCATACGGTCTGGTCGACAAGTCTTCGATTGATTTCTTTTCTCGACTGGACACTGATCGGATCTTCTGGCCATGTCCGTTCTCAAGTCGGTCTTTGTAGGATACTGCACGGTCATCGTCGGTATGGTTGGAGCCTTTTTCTCTGGAACAAGATGCGATCGCATCTTCATGTCTGGAGCTCTCTCCGCTCCTATCTTGCTCTAGCATCTTTCGAAACTGGGCAGTGAATGTGCCTGGCTGGTATCGAGAAATGAAACAATTTGGCATTTTCGAAGGAAAAGAGAAGGTAGAGAGCAATAAGTTACAATGAGATCCTGAGCCTGGTTTCCGGAGAACCATGTGGACTGTTGCAGCTACCAAGGCTCACGAGCTAGGTTCTCGCGATCGCCACCCACTTCGCGAGATTGCAACGCTACTATCACATTGATGAAACCCTGGATACAAATAGCATCCGACGGACCAATCAAACACCATGCGCGAATTTAGACGGACGCAGGTACGGTTCTGCGATGCAGATCCCAGCGACGACCCACGGGACAGCAGATCAAGGAGGTTCTATTTCTGGCCCGGAGCAGAGATTGGAAGGATTTGCAAAGGCCCAGACACAGTCCACAAGCCCAAATCTGATGGCCGTAAGTGTCCGATGGAACGGGTCTTTGTTGCTTAGGAGGTATTACTGGGGCAGGTGAATATTTGGAAATATTACGCAGAATTCTGGTAACAGAATGGTAGGCTAAATCCCGATCCGTGGTTATGTTTTCCTGGTTCCTGTCACAGGAGAGTAAGTCTCCTGCCAAGTGGCAAGCTGCTCCTTGCCTATCTGGTGTGTAGAAATTCTAGAAGCTGTGTCTTCTGTTCTGCATGAACCTTCCCTGTAGAGTATACGTAGAGACGATACTCCCTTTGAGCCCAAAACTTCCTCTGCATCTGCTGCAACTCGATCGCCAATTCGATCGCCTTTCTAATAACTCTAGCAGACAGCTTGTAAACATTTATGCCAATTATGGACGGACCACATGAGCTTACGTAAGGTTGTCTCCAGTTTTTGCGCTAAAACCGAGAAACCGATTGGCCCCGGACATAAGTGGACGTTGTGGGCCGGCCCTCCTGCGGCCCCTAAACTTTATATCAAATACCCTGCGCATCTTGATCATGACGCTGAATATTAAAGAATCTTCCTAATAAAGTTCTGCCCTTCCCCAACATCCTATATATGAAGCGACCGAGGTGATGGTGATTATGCCCTAGATCTCTTTTCCTTTGGGCTGCAGGGCTTAATTACGAACAAACTAGAAATTAAGTGGGGCATTAATTCGTAGATAAGCTTTTCTCGTCGATCATTCATGACAGTCGCATTCTCTCACCGTGTGACCCTTTCCATGGTTCATCGAAATCTTATTTCAGGATTCAGCGATTGATCGACAATCCCGGTAATGTTCCACCTTGTTTGGGTAACTTTTGTCAAACCATGACCTTGTAACTTCCTCTGTATTGTTGTGATCTATTGTTGGGATTCCGAGGGTTGATGGATGCTTGTTCATATTTTGAAACTAGCTTCATACATACAATCTGAGATATTCATCATTCTGCGTCTTGATTGCTCAGCTGCCACATCCTCCGTTTGTAGCATCATCCGACAACACTAATTCATCGAGATAGTTACTATGGTTGCTTGGCGATCACAATGTAGCGCGTATGCCAGCGAACTGCTGATAGCATGGACGTTCCGCGCATCGGTATCTCATCTTCTTGGCTGCAGAGACACGATGTACGTAGTGCCAAATCTGCGATGACGATCGCGTTTCTTTACGCCGTGACGGACGGAGTAATGACATCGCGCGGCCTGTGATTGATGATCAGCTTGTAACAAACGTTGGAAGAAGGTCAGCTCATACCTCGTCTCCAGCCTTCCGTCTTGGTTGATTCACTGCTGTCGATATGGCTAGGCTCGGCTGTTAAGATTGTTTGAAACCACTTTTCAATGTTGCTTTGCGCAGGCCTTTTATTAGGGAGGGTTGCCAATGAACCCCTGCAGCTAACCGAGCGACGAACAGTTCCTGCTCGGTTTCGATTGCCTGAATGCTTAGGCGATCTGGCACCAGAGCGACGTTGCTTGCGCAAGATATGGTACATTTTCCCTCGTAGAGACTCAACGCTTCGGTCCACCTGATATTGTTCATAATATGCGTCGGAGCGGGCTTTCCACGACAGCGCCCGATGGGCATCCAGCCAGGAGAGAAGGTTCTTCTCCTCCCATTCCGACCAGACTACCTCGCTTCGAGGAGGCATAGCGCTTGCATGAACTAACAGGAACCAGAGAGATCTTTTCAGCAATGGCACGACTTGAACTCCGCATGGATGGGAAAGGTGAGCCTAAATCCCCTCCCGGTCCCAGTAAAAGCTGAGATAGTACCCTTGGTTCATCCGAAATTTTCTGAAGGCTTGTGGCATGATCATGGACCACTCTGGACAGTCGCTTCGGTCAGTCTGAATTGTACTCTATCGACTACGTATTTCAGAATCCCCCGGACTCCCAGCGCCCGAACACATTCATAGTTACAAGAACGACCACCCTTCAGTTTAGTACTTGTCAATATCTCGAACACAATGACTGTCTGTGGAAATGAACAAAGTAATGACTTCTTAAACCGAGCCCCACCGGGTACTAAGGTAACATGGAACAGACTTCAGAGGCAAAAACTTTGCTTTCTGACGAAGTCCCTTCCTCTAAAGTTGAATGACTTTCGTGCCTGATTGGCTAAAATGTATTCCAAATTAAGCGAAGATTGCGGTACGTACTGATGGAAATAGTGCGCCTTGCAAACCCTATCGCAAACTCCGGTTTGGAGAGCAAATTCTTCATAAAAGCCTCAGCGACTTATCCTGTAACATCCGACTTGAAAACTCGTTATCTCACTCTGACACAGATTCAGCTATGGGTGGAATTCGAAAGCTTCCGTTTACTGATCAACGACAAAGCTTTCGGAGCCATTTACAACGTGCACTGTCCCTGTCATCCTCCGGATCTGAGGATATCTGGATTCCGCCCAGATCCACGGCGGGGGATACTACGGAGGACGAGTGTTCTCAGGAGGACGACTCTTTTGGCAACGACCGCAATGGAATCACAGTGGATGATGGCCAGGAAAGTCCTCTGCACACCTGCAGTACGGGCCCGAGACCAGACGAAGAACTGGAACAACCCGGACAGGATCTCTCCGAGAACTGCAATATGATCGCCTTCCAATGTCTGGCAGAGTGAGTGTCAATCCGCTCCCTTGGAATGGTGTTTTGTGATATGCTGACTTACAACGCTTAGACTAGATGTCCGAACGAAGTCAGTCGTGCGACCCACCAGAAAAAGAACACAGGCTGATTATTTTGCAGGTCCATGCAGAAGTCATTGAATAACCAGAACAGCTGGATTGGAAACATTCGCAGTGATCTGGAGGAAATCCGCAGTCGGTTGGCTGTCGTGGAGACGGCTATTGAAATGAGGGCCAAAAAGGGGGAGAACCATGCTACTGAGGGTGATACATCTAGACGATCGCTTCGGTCGCAGCAGTGATTCAGACCGGAAATATGATGAAATTAAGTCTATAGTCTAGAGCCGGATGTCAGCCCTTAACTGAGGTATTCTTATTACGTTGCCCTATGCGAACAATTATATTTCACCTTTGCAGACTCTCGCTTGAAGTTACATATAACCGCAGCGCTGCGGGGCAGGAGAGAAAGCGTCGATAGAAATCCTATTGACGAGATGAACTTCCTGTCCTAGCCGGCTGGAAGTCGCAACCTGTTAAGGTTTTACGGGAGTTCAATGGTCTCGCGATCAAGTCACACCGGGCGATCATGGCCCACCTGGACTGTGGGCCCCCCATATTCAGCGGCCATGGAGCATTCCCTCTGCCGTCCAATTGGCAGAGCTAAAGTCCGATCGTCCGAGTATATTTTTACGTGAAGCTTTTTCTACTAAAGCGGAAGATAAACCAATGCATATATCTGGTTCATATTTTACTGTTATTCTTAGTGTTATCCTGGGATGGCGGTGGGGTCGCTATCATTATGCCTTGAGCTATCTATCTGTGTGATGGTTATATCGAATTGCGGTGCCGCCACAGCCAAAGCTGTTCCTAGCTCTGAATCTGTCATGCTTCACACAAGTGATTCATACTGGTTGGCTGGGGTTGCCGCCGGCTGAGTAACAAGCGGGTAATCGTTACTCGATGCGGAGAACCCGGGTAGGGCATTCTGACCCAAATTCCCATAAAGACCGTCCTGGTCGGGCCAAGCTCCGTAAATTACTTCAGAGCCGGGAAGGCAGGATGCCGGTCTACGATTCTGAAGGGCATCAATCGTGTTCCAGAGCCGAGTGGTCGCCGATACCAGCTCACAGTGCGTCTGATGCAAGGCCGGCTGAATATCGTTCCTTGAGATCTGATCCTGCGTGGCGGCGTCAAGTGACTCAAGCTGCTGCTTGATATGGCAGAGTTCTCTTTCAAGCCTCTGGTTTTCTTCCAAGGCTTTGTCTTTTGCTGCGAGAGCTTGCTGTAGTTTCGAAGACTCTTCGGCCTTTTCCGCTTGTAGACGCTGCATCGACTGAGATTGATGGGATATTTCATGGTCCATTTTCCCAAGAGCTAGTTCAAACTCTTCTTGAATCTGGTCCATCACATCCAAACATTGTCGATGTGTCGCCTCATGCTCTTGCCTCCGGGCGGTTTTCGTCATAGAATGTCCCTGGAAACGCTCGTCAGCCAAGAGTACATTATCCAGGGAGGACCGCATAATGTCTGTCGGTGCAGAAATATACGAATAACCGAAGACAAGATAGGGAATGACATACCAGGTCTTTGTGTAGCTTCGCTACAAGGCTCTGAGGATTGCGGTCCGCCTTGGACGTAGAAACTGTCGACCGAACAGAACCAGGCGAACCAGCACGCGATCTGCTAGTACGAGACTTTGTTTTGGTAGCACCACGTCCCGCACTCCGAGAGGGCTTGGGTGCATTTGCCATACTGAACCTTTCCGGTCGAGAGATTGTTGTTGGTTCCAGTGGATTGCGGGTAAACTGATGAGTAGGATGAATCGCAGTAGCCTCCTGGGTAACAAAGACTTTAAAGGGCTAGGTGGAGACCAAACGAAAAGACCTGAAACGGAGGTGGAAACGCTGTTCCCTTGCCAAGTCCTTTTTGCTAGCATGTGGT